TCTGCGATTTTCGCCTAGCAACCTGGGTGACGCCAGGATTCTGGGATTGTCCGACGGCATCGTCCAGGTCCAGCTGAGCGGCAAAGTACCATTTGCGATAATTGGCGTGCTGGCCCCCGATGTAATCCGCGTGGAGCGTTAGTAATGCCTGGTTGGGCGACATGCGTGAGGCTCTCGAGTCGAGCTGCTGCATCAGAAAGTCGAACTACGCATATGTCAGCATACTACGAAAAGAGATGAAGGCCACCGCAGATGAACGAGCCAATTGGGATCGCAAGGTGCCGCAGCACTGATAGCAGTTAAGGAAACCCAGCCGCAAGGCAGCTGGAGCGTAGCACACAGCTGGATGGAAGCGCTCATAGGACGACCCAAAAGGCAGCAGAGCTGCAGTCGAGCGCACTATGGCAGACACAGACACCCTGCCATTGCGCCCCCTCCTTACATCCGCCCGCCCGGCGCACGATGCACGACACAGCTGGGGCAATACACGAGAATGGAGGGGAAGACTCACCATATTCCTCATCGAATCCCGTTGAAACCCAAACTTCTGCGTCAAATCCAAAAAAATGTCCTCAATCTCCTCCTTCGACAGTGGAATGTGACGGTCCGTTGCCCAAGCGGGGTAAGCATCAGTAGAGCTCCCGCCGGTGTATTCACTGAAGGTGGGCGTTGCGCGGTGAGCGCTCAATGATTCTGCCGAGGTGGCGAAGCGCTGGCCGTAAACATCGCCATCGGAGTCGGTATCGGGTGGGGCTGTACACAGCGATGAGCTATATCCAACGAGAGCGGCAAGAAGAGGCGCGCACCGTATGGGTCGTAGGTGCTGCCCTGGTCATAGCTGGGGGTCTCAGAGATGAAGGTATCGGGCCGTGTTGGGATGGGATATTCGAGGTCGTCGTGGTCGTAAAATGCAGCCGTCCGCCCAGCACCATTCAGCGTGCTGAAAGGGTCATTGGGATGCGCCTCGACGGAGGGTGACGTCGAGTCGGAAGGGTGGCTATCGCTGCTCCCCGGCTGGGGGGACGACATGGAAGGAAGGAAGCAAGTTGGTGAAATTATGACGCGTGGGCAAAATCGGGCCAATACATAGCCACCCATTTGCAGTATATTTTTCCGCGAACCGTTTCACTCGCTCACATATTCTGGCCGTTCCAAAGTCGCTCCAAACGGCACTGCGCTTGCAGAAGCTCAAGGGTCTGGAGAGAGCTCATCTCTTTCTCCGATTATGCGATCGATTCCAACGTCCACCATTTTCTCACACTGGTCTACACCACGGTCATCTCTCACCGTGTCTCTAGTGCATGCCCTCTATCCGTGCCCAGCGGCTATATTGGCATACCTCGAAATCTTCGCTATCCAAGGATATATTCCTGCGCAATATGAAATTACGAATACAAGCCCACGGCCGATTCTCGCCCGTCAACGAAACTTTGGACCACCGCTTCCTGTCAGCAACATGTCATTGATAACCAGACAAATAATACTTACCTCACGACGATAGGCAGGGAGACTCGCCTTGTACGGTTCTTGTTGAGCATAAGACTGAGCCTAACTCTCTTACCGACATGGGGACCCCTGTGAAGCAACGTGGAAAGTGTTCCTGACGCGCCGGTGCCGCGCACATTTCCTGGGCTCGGCGTGGGGCCCATGCAGTTTGCCAGGATCTCGCTACGCGATCGCCACGCAGCTGACGCACTTATATGCGTCCTTCGGCTCCAGTAGCCCGGTCGCAGGGTATTGGACGAAAGCGTTAACGGCTAGGCTAATCCGTCACTAAAGGTTTCCGTGCCCAACGCCACTGCCGTGCATGGTAGCTGTGACCAATGTTACTGTACAGTGACAGCGTTGCCGAGTACTAGAACTTGAGGATGCCGACAGAATTACGACAAAGAACCTGATATTCGAGCTACATGTGACGGCGCATATCTGATCTCCAACCCATTCACTGGAGACTGACAAGCTGAGATGCACCTGTGTGGTAATCCGCAGCTATCTCAATGCACCCAGATTCTTGGACCAGACTAGCAGTGTGATTCCATCATCTTCTGTTGTACAGCTAAATAGAGATGCAAGGGAACGGCTGGACTGTTATCTCCTTCTGGTGGGGATGTCGTTCAAAGTCGTCATTTCTGTTGACAGGATCTGGCAGGATCATCAGCGCCTGACCGTGTGCATAACAGATGGATCATCCGTACAAGTGAATCCAATTATACTCTATCTATACTGGTCGATCTGCATGGTTCGATGGTGTAGTTGGTTATCACTTCTGTCTAACATTTGAGTTCCACTGGCGAGCAAATGGTTCACAGGCGGTCCTCAGTTCGAACCTGGGTCGAATCACTTTTTCGGCGATTATTGTTTCCCTTGATATGCTTTAAGTTTGCTCGTTTTCCTGAGACTGATTCATTCAATTTCCATTTCTGGAATGTATTGACATTATATTTTCGACAAAACAATCTTAACACCATCACTTTCAGCACCGTGCAGAGATATCTATTCATGATACCCATCCTAGGTCGCGAAGAACAGCGATGATGCAGCTGTCACAACAATAGCCTGATCGTCGATGAGGTAAGTTGAGAACTTTTGCCATGGACAGACACACCGCTTGAACATAGAAGACGAATTGCGGAACAGTAGATATTGTCCTGTCATACATGTTAGGCTCCCGACAATGGTCATTAGTCAAGCATCGTCACAGGTCACGCACGCTGAGAGGATCCCACCCATCAGAATGGAGGACAGAAACTTCCCGACACTCGCGACCATTTCTATGGCCGCCAGTGTCTGACCTGCCACGATGTCACTGTAGTATCTCCGGGAGCATGAACGTACTTGCCTTGCTTCAAAGGATTGACGCCCGACACAGCCAAGCTTCGGAAAACGGGGTGACGACCTGCGCTGAGTCCAATCAGCGTGACAGCTGTCCGGGGCAGGTCAGCACACAGATACTGGGTGCCTGTCAGTAAGAGGGGATACGCGCCTGTCATTTGAGCTATTCTACTCTCTGCCAAGGCCAGGAAGATGAATGCAGCAGCGTCCATCACCCAGGAGAGAAAGACCACGAGGATGTCCACACAATCCCTTGTTTGAGCCAGGCTATGATCATCTCTCGGCCCATAAAGCCTGCGAAGTCGGGGAATCAGGGAAGGTATGATCACAGTCAAGACAGTGAATCCAACGAGATTAAGCGTCGTCAGTGCGTAGCCTGTCTAATCAGGTCCATAAGTGACAGGGTCACTGACAAGGCTAGCTGGAGACATACCTCTTGGGGAGTGTATCTCTGCACACCGGTGAGATAGACAATCAGGGCAGTAGCTCCATAGGCTCCGCCGAGATCCACACAGAATGCGTGAAGTGCACAGATAGCCAGCCGCCATTCCCGCTGTCCAGTCTCAGGATCACAAACCGGTTTGAGAAGGGAGAGCGGCTCGAAGATAGGTAAAATGTGCTGCTGAATCCAGGACGATGAATCTACAGCACCTGGCTCGCGTCTCAGTGCGTTTCGTTTATGCTTGGGGTAGGACTCAGGGATGAAAAGGGTGATATATGCGAATAGTGCGATCCAAATCGTCCCCGTGACATAATAGACGGGTAGTTCGTCCTTGAATTGGGCTGTGATCGAGCCACCAACGACAAATGAGAGAGCAGAACCTGTGTTCAACATCAAAACGGATGGCAAAATGCTAAATCACGCAACACACCCAAGGTAGACCATCCCCACAAGGTACTCAGCGCTGAAGTTCTCTGTTCATGGCCGACCAGATCAACAAGATACATGTTGGTCGCAAACACAATGATCAACGGCTGAGACAGCGAGTTGCACGCCATCCACATGCAGAGTAGCCCCACTTGTGCCGTCGTGCTCCCGATAAGCTTCGACGTGATAACGAGCACATTCGCCAGTAAGCCTACGGCAACGACCAACAGGATGGCGGGTTTACGGCCCATTCGGGACGCAACGAGGCCCAGCCCGGAGTAGGCAAGGATAGCTGCAGCACACTTGTCAGCATGAATCCAATCGCCCGCGGCGACGAAGAAGCGCACACCCAATTCCGTCACTCATTGCCATCGCCGTAAGCGCCGCGGCATACTGCTGTTGGACGTCCGGAATAGCGCAAAGCTCGTCGGGTATGTTTCCGGTAGCCGGAATTCGCGTCGAATCTGCGTCCAGATAGTGCAGCCGGCATAGTAGCTGTTGAATAACATGAAAGGTAGTCGTGGAGGGAAGGCGGATGGCTAGTCGGCATATTGCGGCCACGGGGATGATCAGCGTAACAGGTGATACTCGAGGCCACCTGTTGCGCGTGAGGAGGGGAGTGGTTTCGGGCAAGCCATCTTGCATCGGTTGTGGTAAGCTGCAAGCTCAGGTGTGCACTGCCACGTTGATCGAGCTCTGCCTAAGTCTTCGCCTGGACTCTCGTAGTTACGGAGCGATGAAGAGCGCACAGAGACCATTTGCGTGAGTTGTGTTTCAATGAGTTGAGACAAACAGTCATTTGCGAAAAGAGATTGTGATTCTGGTGCAGTCACATGACGTGGGCCTCCTTCCACGGTGACATCCACGCCGGGCTTGAGCTTGGGTTCTGGATTCATACAGTTTCCATGGTCATACATAGTCAAGAGGATCCCGCCCCCGTGGTTTTATTCTTGGTGGCCCCCCTTCTTATTGTTGGATCGGAACAAGCAAAGGCGTTTCAACGCTTCTAGAACTTTCGGGATCTGTATCTCACAGGAGCGTATCTGCTGCTGGACCCACATCTTCCGTTTCAAGGATGAAACGTGCCTCGTGTCTTGTGAAAGTGCGCTCTTTCCGTAGGAATTGATAATCAGCCCAAAGCAGAGAGAACCGGCTGCCTAGAAAGGAACTACCCTGACCAAATGGAGACTCATCAAATGATCGCTCCGCTGTGATGGACAAAGACAATAAGAGCAGCGTCGATGTTCCCTCCCGGAAGACAATTACAGGCGATGAGATGGAAAAAGCACATTGCTATAAGGATCAATCAGCTCATCGCCTCCTCTCATCTTCGTTCCTAGTCCCCACCATTCTCCCGGTCCTTCTGTTCCTTTCTCGGACGCCCACCGCCGAAAGACAATAGCGCGTAGACGCGCAATTTTAAATGACTTCGCGCACCGTGGAACAGGCCTCTTCTTCTCAGCCCACCACCTTCAATTCCACGGAAATGCCCCGCTACAGGTCTGGTGCATCGCGGTCTTCATCTCCCCCTTCGAAGGCTTCCCACCCCATCTCGACCGCGTCGCTGTTCACTGCACGGGCTTTCCCTCCGCCTTCGCTGGCTGGAGTGCCTGCCGAATACATCGCCCGGCAGCTGCGCGCCCTTGCGCCGCAGTATTGGAATAACACTGAAAGCGCTGATTGCACCATTGGTATGCTCTCCTCGCCGTCGCGGTCTATCAGTGTAGACTGAGCTTCGAATGTAGTTATTCCTGTTCCCCATGCGCCTGGGAGGATGGGCTCCCCTGATCTGCCGATCTTCTCTATGTCCAGTGACCCGACGCTCGGGCGACGGGCAACGGAGCCGGCACTGAACGCTGTTCCCCGCATATCTCTGAAGGTCAGTTCGATAGTTACCTCCTGCAAGTGTCGGTAGTAACAAATGCGCTACACAGCTGCATGTCGACTTTCTCTGTGCCCATTCGACTTTCCTGCGAGGCTTGTTCAGTGGTTCCTCGTCCCTCGACCTCATCGCCTCATCCTGTCTGTCCGAATCACCAGCGGCATCACGCCCCAACGCGCGCGGCAAGTTCTCCGTGCCTGAAAACCGCCGGCCCCGCCTCATGCCATGCTCGCCCGACCATCCGATCCTGCTCCTCCCCGTGCCCGATCCGACTAGCATCCACCTCATCGTGCACTGGATGTACTTCGGGAACACTGTCCCTATCGCCGAGGCGCTGAAGACCGGCTCGGTCGAGTGGGAGGGCCTCGCACGCAACGCCGAGTATCTCGGCTTGCCTTCTGACATCAAGGTGTTCCTGGGGAGGTGGTTCCAGAACTGGCTGAGGATGCGGGCCAGTCGAATTGACGAAGAGGGGGAGGAAGATGGCTCTGACTCGGAGGACGGCGATGATGTCGACGCCGTGTACTACTCTGGTGACGATTCCAGTGTTAAAGTTGAGCTCCGCACCATGGAGGACACAGACTCGAAGCGAGGTCGTCCGCGGCCTCTGTCTATTGGTTCGGCGCACAGCGTCTAGACTGCATACATCCATGGCACATTCCACACTCGCATTGCGTTCGCAGCTCCGAAGTGCCGCGCGCTCTGTACACACAATAAACAACACGCTCACTGTCGTGGTCATTCGACTTATCATTATCCATTATCGACGCGCCTCGATCGAGCGCACCCCACTGTCCCTCGGATTCGACTTCGAACTTTGCTCACTGCCATTGGAATCTGCTTTAAGCCAGAGTCCGTTTACTTATTCGCGTAGCCATGTAATACCACCCTTCGTCTTTACCGGCGCTAACCCTATGATACAACTAGTATAACCCTGAAAACAATTCAACCAAGGAAACGTAGATATGAGAATTTGCTTATGTGATGGGACATCATTCACGAGGCTCACTCTCTTTCCATCTCTACCCGCTATCCAGCAAGTATACACTTCGCTTCTGACCCCAATGAAGATATTTAACGCCGCTCAGCATTCCTACCCATGAAGCCTTCCTCAGCCGCTTCATCACGAGGTGCTTCAAGAGCTAACGCAAGCAGCAAACACAAGCCTCGAACCCAGAATCCGAGCACATGTACCACAGCCCTCAAACCGCTTGTCCTCGTCGACCGTCTCGCCCAACCTGACTCTCAATCTAGTCTGGGTACGCAAAAGCCCCGGCGCTCTGTCCTCCGCGTCATCAGCATGAACACGGCCCATGCCAAGCAATCCATCAAGAAATCGATGACCACTGAAGCTAAGGCTGCTGAAGCTACGGACGCCGAATACGTGTTCGTGGACAGTCCCCGTCCGCGGAAAGCAAGCTCGCTGGTCGTCTCGCCGCAAGATTCTCCGTGCCCTGCGCCCTCAGCTAAAGCCAAATCCATCCCGCCTGCCCGCCCACTGCTCAAGTCTGCGTTCCAGCAAGAGAACGTGTCGCCAGGCAAGCCCGGCTCTCTTGTTCGGCCGCACCGGCACTACTCTTGCTCGACTCCGAATCTCGCTTCCTCGAAGAACGCTCCGGGCGTGAAACCCAAATTGAAGCTGCAGCCGCATCCGCTGGCTAAAAGCCGGCTGCGGAGTGAGAGCTCCAGCGTCACCCGCCGGCCACCCGTCAACATCGCCCCGAAGAAGAAGAAAGAGGTAGTGATCCAAACACAAGCGCCGACTACGACTGTGGATCGTGGCGTGCAAACCGAAGCGCCGGAGAGCAGCAGTAGCGTCGGGTGCCAGACAACAGACCAGAGTGTCCAGTGGCAGCCGGGCGTCCTGTTCTCGATCTCGCAGGACGAAGTCGTAGCGGCCAAGTCCTCCAAGTCTGCCATCGACCTCAAGAAACTGATCATCAACATGGGCGTGCTGGATCACATCGAGGGCGCGAGCGACGACAAGGACCGGCTGCTGGATCTCTCTATGCACGTCAGCGACGAGCTCGGCCAGATTCTCGCTCAGCGGACGGCCTCGGACACTGGGAATGGCGTCGTCGAACGTGTGCCGCTGGGTGCGCGAGATCGGAATGTTGGCAAACCATCGCAGGAAGTGAAGCGCATGAAGATCGTCGTACCACCGGTCGATTCGAGCATTGAGCCGTCGAGGGATCCAAAGATCCGCTCGGAGCTGTTAGACTTGAGAGCGCAGGCCAGGGTGTCGTGGGTCATGTCGTAGGCGATGGTCCTGCGTGGTTTTCATCGCATCTTTTTTGTCCTCTGATGTATGTCATCGAACTCGAATGAGTGGCGTACATGCATGGTTAATTACTTGATCTTATGGTGACGAAGTTAAAGCGAAGATTAGTCGCGGGCACCGTAGAATTATATTTACTTGAAAAACGGACAGATTGGCCGAGAAAGACTGGAAGAAGCGAAAGCCGATGATAGATGGGAGCAGATAAGATAAGGTACCGATTTGAAAAGATCCACCATCAAATAAGACATCGAGCAAGGTCGGCAATGGTGTCCCACCAAGCTTGAAAGACTGTTCCACGGAGCTGAATACAGACAAAAAAAGCGAGATGCAGTCGGAACCGTCGACAGAACCTCCTCTGCTTTGTACGTTATTCCGAACGCACGACTTCATTGCCCTTGTCTGCATCTGATGAGATATCTTCGTATAAGTCTGAGTGGGGTCTCAGTTATCTGTGGAGCAAGCATATAGGTCTCGTGTGTCGACAAGCTATTACTCCTGGAAGAGATGCTCCCCAATATCCACATCCTGGCCACTCCGACTGGTACACCTCCTGAATCCCAGCCACCGCGGCATCAAGATGCTCTTTCACACGGCACGCTCAATCCACCTCACTGTGTCGAATTTCCAGTGTTCGGATCGAAGGCGCTGGTGCAGGAGATGTTAGTGAGAGTCGATCACATTCGTGTCCAGGATGCAGAAACCTTCTCCATTGAGCACACGGCCGACATCTTGATATCGAAGATTGGATTTGAGATGATCGGCAAGCGTTGTATTGGGCTTAAATAGTGCGACACCGGAGTTGAACAGAGTTTGGAATTGAAGACAGTGTTTTGGTAGGCTTAGAAAAGGTTCGAATTTGAGCCGATAAAGGTTGGTAGGATCATAAGGACCACATGCGAATTCAAACAATCATACTAGACCTTCGATGAAGAGCGGTTGGTGTTACCCGAAATTTCGACAAAAGTCTGCTGTAAATTGAACACGAGTGCGTGAGGCCCGCGGAAACTCAGTATTATGTCACTCAAAAATAAAGTAAAACAAGGTCCAAAAATGGCCCAACCTCACTCAGTAGAATAAAGTAAAACGGGTCAAAATGTACCAAGGTACCTCAGAATTTAGCGTAAAACAGCCCCAGTTGAGCGGTTTCGGGCTTGAGGGGGAGAGAAATGTTCTAAAAGCGGAGCTGATCAGACAAGTTCCCCTCGCTTTTTCCCAGCTTTCACCCATTTAAGCACAGAACGTGCAGTAAATCTCAGTCCAAGAGCTCAAAAAAGGCCTCACGTGAACGTATGCACAAAAACTGAGGGGTCCCTCGAAATTTAAAGTAAAACTACCCCAAAATGGCAATTTTCGTAAAGTAAAACAGGCTTTGGTCCTTGAGTGACCTTATACTGAGTTTCCGCGGGCCTAGTGCGTGCAAGTGGATAATCGCTATGGATGATGAGGTCAATCAATGATCGATCACTTCATCAAACGCGATCGGCGTCAAAATCAAACACACTCAAACGCGCGCTGTATCAACGCCATCATCATCAATGAGGGATACGTCCTAAAAAAGCCAATCACTCCTCTTGACGTTGTGTTTCTTCCTTCCCTCCCTCCCTCTCCCCTCCCGCCGTTCCCGCCCTCTTTCCTTGAGGCTTGCAGCTCCTTCCCGCTTCGATCCCATCCCGACGTCGTCTCCGATGGCTTTTTCCAAGCTCTTACTGTCACTCGCGTTCGCCGCGGCATCATTCCCGATGCAGCACGCCTACTTTCTCTTTTCCATGAGTCCGTCGTCGTTCACAGTCACTGCGCGTATTCAGTCTCGCCTGACCTGCATCTGACAGACGATGTGATCACGACGGAGCGGATCGACCCTATCGTCAGCCCTGGTGCGCGCGCCTTGATTCTTTTCCATCGCCGCTGTCAACTGAGCGGCGTGCGTTGCTTCACAGGCAAAGTCGCGGGCCACGTCCACACCGGTGAGCTCTGCGGATGGCTTTGCTGTGCGGCTCCCGACTGACCGCGACGGACGCGTAGTTGTGGGCGGGAGCAACTTCCGCGTGGCGACGAACACGAGCTTCCTGCGGCAGAGCGAGTGCACGTCCTCGCCGATCAAGGAGGACAACTCGGCCTACGTGCGTGCCCGCCCTGTCTTTCGTTATCGCGACACCCTGCTGACGAGCGGCTACTTTGCTATGCTGCGTTAGTGGGCTCCGGTGCGTGAACGCGTGAGATAGTAGGCGGGGACTGTGGAGCTGAATTTTTGCGTCTGCAGACCACCTATTTCCAGTGCGTCGTCCTTCCTACGCGCAAGCACTCGGGCGACCCTGACTCCCTGCAGATGGGCGAACGGCTCGTTCAGCAGCGTGAACGGCAACCCGGTTATGTACGTTGTTGCTACTCTTCTTCTGCGGGTTTCGTGCGGGATGTCTACTCACGCCACTGCAGCTGTACGATGCGATTTCATTTCTGTTGACTGGGGCAGGGCGTGACGCGATTGGCAGACTATCTTTTCTCCGACACACCCGGAACGACGACGGCGTTCCCCGATGACGTGAGTCCGACTGTGGACATGCTGTGACCACTGTTCTGAAGGCTCGCGCTCCAGTTCCGCATGATCAGTGGGAATCCGATGCTGCGAACGTACGACCCTACCTCGTACGCCCAGCAGGCGATCACGTTCCTGTGCTTGGACTTCAACGGCAAGTCGACCCGGTTTAACGAGTTCCCCGCTCAAAACTGCCCGTCCGGTATCCGGGCCCAGATCGTGCGTGTTTTGTCTTTTCTTCCGCATGAATCATATCGGCGCGTGTCACAATCTCACGGTGGCCCTGGACAGAACTTCCCGATGTACGTGTGGTGTGCCTGCATTACGTCGTGTCGATGCTGATTCGCTCTGTCTATCAATCACCCGCCGATAAGGTGCTGGGACGGCGTCAACGCGGACTCGCCCGACCACAAGTCGCACGTCGCGTTCCCGTCCGGCGGCCCCGACTCGGGCACATGCTCGGATCCCAAGTTCCCCAAGACCCTGCCACGGATTTTCATGGAGGTGCGGTGACGCGATGCATGGATGGATGAGGCGACCCTGACTGACGGACTGACGTGCGGCAGATGTACCTCGACACCGGATCGTGGTGGGGCCTCCGAGACCAGGCGAAGAACAGCAGCCAGCCGTTCGTCTACTCGATGGGCGATCCGACTGGGTACGGGTACCACGCCGGTGAGTGCAGCGCTCTCGGTTGTTTGAGCGCCCTCTCCTCAACCATGTACCGGAACAGATTTTATGATGGGCTGGCAGCCGAATGTGCTGCAGCGCGTTGTGGACGAGTGCCATTGCAACGAGTTCGGGGACCCGACCTGCTGCTCGAACGCGGGGATCTTCAATTTCGTCAAGGGCGGAAACTGCCGCATCACCAAGGGTGTCAATGAAGTGACCACCGGTGTGCTCGCGACGCTCCCCGGCAACAATCCCGTCGTGGGCTATGGCGGCAAGGCGTCGTTGCTCGCGGCGGCGGTGGTCCCGGCGCTGATCGATCCTGTGTATGCCTACACCGGGGACAGCCCAAGCAGCACGGGACAGCCTGTCGGGAATCCTGTGACTCTGGCCAGTCCGCCTGTGGCTACCGCTCCTGGACAGGCGTCTTCTTCAGGAGGTGCAGAGAAGAGTGCGCCTGCGAATTCAGGCGGACAAGCGGGATCGTCGAGTGGCGCGAGTTCGAACCCGGCGCAAGGTGCATCGTCGTCGTCGTCTAGCTCCAACTCTGGCTCCAACTCTGGCTCCAACTCTGGTTCCAACTCTGGCTCTTCCACTTCCGCGGGCTCTTCAGCCAACCCGGCTGATGGCCCTCACTCTGGGTCTTCCCCGGCCAGCCCTGCTTCCCCTGCGTCCGGCTCAGCTCCCTCCTCTGGCCCAGCATCCCCGTCCACCTCCACCTCCGCTTCCCCGGCGCGTGTGTCCCGGCTGTCGTGTCTCGCGAAGCAGAACGGGACGCATGCCAGACGCGTGCGCCGCGCTCACGATTCCCGTCGTAAATACAACGTCGGTCTTTGAATACGACCCCTGGCTACGAACGCACGCACGTCGTGCCGTGCTCTCCTTCCTTCTTTTGTAAAGTCACTCTCCTTTGTCTGTGCTCGTCTGGTCTCTCCCTGTCTCTCTGTCGCTGCTGCCTAGTGCGGCCGGCGCTGCCCGCCTCGATTGGCGGCATTGGATCTGTTGTGCCCCTTGAGGGGGCTGCTGTCTTGCAGGCAGCTACGTACATAAATGCACATACAAACATACATATATCATGCACCGTGTTCTTCGTGTCGCGTGGCTAGGCCATGTCGGATATACAAGCCCGTTTCTTGTTTTGGATTCATTGAGGAGTCTTGATTGTTCACTGCTGGGTGCGACTAGGTGAGATTAGAGACGTGTTTATCTACGATCCTACGATTTCAGGATTGAACTGTTGCTGGCGACGAATACACAGGGTCCCGTTTCCTGGTAGCTCAAGACATCCATTCTGTCTGTTCGAATTGAGTTGCATGCAATGCAACTGCCGCAGGTCTCGTGCCCGGAAGATATTCGATATCCGCACCCGCGGATACATACGTCCGGTTGGGGGGCGACGAATCTAGAGACCGTCCGGGCAGGGTTTTGGTTGCACGGGAACGAGACCCGAGTAACTGCGTAGCATAAAGTGGCACTCCATAGACGGCCCCCTCACCTCACATCCTCCGAATCAACCGAGAACAACTACAGTACTGAATCGCGCGATGCAGAACAACAGCAGCGACCATTGGCAGGCCCAGCTCGAGCTCCACGCGTTCAAGGGCAACCGGCGCGGCGTGGGGATGGACGCGCAGAAGCGCACCGTCGAGATCGTGCACGGCGGGCTCCCGGCGCCGCTGGATCTGGCACTCACGCGCGCGCACGCGCGCGCGGGGAGCGTGGACGTCTGGCCCGGGTCCGCGGTGGAGATTGAGACCGCGCCCATGCGCACGGCTGCGGTGCGCGAGTGGCTGACGGGGTGCCACACGGTCGTCGTGCTGGTGAGTGCCACCCGTGACTCCCCGAGTGACAGTGCGGGCGGTGGACGCGGACTGAATGTGTCACGAGGCTGCGGATACCCGGGAGCAGGACTGGACTGGGCGCGGCGATCGGCGAGCGGGTGTGTTGGGCAGCGGCGGCGATCATGCGGGCTCGTCGGGCTCGGGGAGAGGCGGGCCTGTGGCTGGGAGTGCCGATCGGGAGGGAGCAGCACCGCCAGTCAAGTCACCGTGTCGGAGTGGGCCCACTCAGACTGTGCCAGAGTCCTCCCGCTGCGGCGAAATGTTCTCGACCTTTGACAAGATACTCAGCAGCGAGCACATCACATGCGCCCCACGTTTCGAAGAGACGTCCAGCGCCTACATGGCGGTGTTCTCCCGTTATTATCACGCCGGCTCGGAAACTTACCGTGCAGGACGCAGTTTCGGGGACCCACCGGTCAAGGGAGAGAACGCGCGAGTGGAGATGCCGCACGATTCGGGCTGGGACGTCCTTGTCGCCCTGTTTACCAGGGTGCTTGAGTTCTGGAGATCATGAGGTATCTTGCGGACTGGATGGTTGTAGATTGACATGTAATACAGTATAGTACGGCCAAGTGGACCAGGAGTGATGATTCCTTTTCGCTTTCCAACAGGCAAGTTGGCCCTGCGGGGCTTTCACGTGATAATCAGGTGACTCTCTTTTTGTCCAATTCTTGTGACTGTCCTCTTCTCATATACAGAAGAAGGTAGATGCCATCCGTCAATCTACTGGCAGCGCCGACTGGCTGGCCATAGGATGCGCCACCCGCAAATCATTCTTCCGTCCGAGCTTGCAATAGCCTGGATAGCTGTGTCTAAATCTGTTACAGCAAGCGTTGGCGCGCGGTTGCTGTGAACCGTTCATTGTTCCGGCGAGGCAGCGTGTACGGAGAAGCACAGCACTTTCTCTGGAACTGACTCCTCAGGCGGGTCTCTTCTCTGGCGTTGTCGCGATATTCATCATTGATAGCTACAAGACGTTGAACCCGGACTCAGGCGGCCAGACCGTCGCGCTGCTCACCCAGATCTCGCTTCAGCTCGCGAACATGCAAAACGGCACGGCAGCGACATACGAACCACAGTCGCTCTGACAGACCCCGAGGAACGCGCCGATGCCTCTGCCGAGCGTCCTGCACGTGAAGACACCCACACCCATACAGAGTCGCAGAGCATGGCCGAGGCCATAAAATCAGAAGCACTGCATCCTCCTGTCAAGATTGAGACCCACGCACTCGCGTGGACCGTGCGGTCACTCTCTGACGACGAGGAGCTCGAGAAACTTGTCGAGGGGCTCCCCCAGACGCTGTGGAATTTCGACAAAAACAAGCCTCGCGGCGTGTATCAGGCACTGTTCCAGTCTCTGTTGCAGGATCCGGAAGTCCATCTGGGCCAGCGTCTCGCCGATTTCATGGCAGGCTCCAATAGCTATCTGCTTGAGGAAAGGACCGCGTCCGCCGCCAGATCTCTGTGCTCCGGGCCACCTGGGCCGTCTGCGCGTTCTCGCTTCACACGGGGTCGCCTCTGCCAAGTCCGATTGGAGTAGCCGACGTGGGCAAGGCGCTGCTCGGCTCGAAATTCGCTGATGCTCCCGAGGTGCAGAGCATGCTCCCCGATGTGTCTGCTCTGGTTCGTCTGAACATGATCGAGTCTCATGCCCAGCAACGGGCCCTCACACAAGCAAGGAGCTCTAATGATCATTTCCGTGCCGAGGCAGAAAACCAACAACAAGCCGACATGCGCCAGACGTATTTGGATTATCTGAAAGCACTTTCCCAATGCCCTGCCAGCATCCAACGGGATGTGACCACGTCCTTCTTTGATCCGCCTCAAATGCGCTTCACGCACGGGGATGGCTTCAAAACTCTGCAAGACGCACTCAGAGAGCTGATCAATTCCCAGTTGCACGAGACAACGGACAATGTCGTCTTTGCTGCCCGCCAGATGATCACCCCGTTTGCCCAGACGTCGCACTATCTCGATTCGTCGCTGTGGCGTCTTGGGCCGCTCCTTGTGCGACATCCGTCCCTCACCGCCTCTGAGCCAAGGTCCGACTCACAGCCCGGTCCGAACCATCATTGCACCCGATTCCTGTGCCGCGCTCTATGCAGGAACTTGCAGTACCAAAACGACCTCCAGGCATCTGTCGACACCTTGCAGCTGATTTATCGGAATTTGCTTGCATCTGATAAGCCACCAAGAGACCTCGACACCCATCTCTTGGTGCTCCATAGTCTAAGGACTCACGCAGCAGACATCCACACGCACCGTTTGCCTGCCGTCGTCCAGTGCGTCGTGCTCAAAAGCTTCTCGCCGTATTTGCTGAAATCAAGGGATTTGTCAGAATTGGCCAAGTTGCCGAGTTTTTTCAAGGATGAGGCCTGGTTCCACACCGTGTTCGGCCTTGACAGTGACAAGCGGACGGAGCGGGCATTGGCACAGCGGGTGTACGGGTATGCATGTGTGGGTGTTGTGACCACTTTCTTCGAGCGGTGTGCGGCCCGGGGTCTGGATCAAACGGAGCGGGACCTGGACTTCGAGACGCTCGAATTGGTACACCACATAGGCTTCGGCATTTCTTCGGCACCCCCGACTGAACTGCAACGTCGATTTGCCGATGCCGTCTCTGGGTTCATCCACAAGTATCCGAAGAACTGTCTCGCGGATTATGACGGGCTCTACTGGCTGCTTTTCTGGGCCATCAATGCGCTCATTGGGTGGATCAAAGATTTGGATGCGTTGCACGTCCTGGACACGGCTGTCTCCGAGGTGGAGGCAGACAATCAGCAGCAATCACACCGGGACAACGTTCAACGGATCCGCGGACAGATTCAGCTGCGGATCCTTCTTTCTGAGAACATCCCTGCCGACTGTCCCGCTCGTTGCAGCCGGCAGCGATGGGGAGTGGAGGGACCGTTGCAGAGGGTGCCATTTTCCATTTATTTAGCTTACAACTATCCCGTGTATTCTGTATCTGAAAGAAGTAACATAGATTTCATCTTCTTCGATGCATGTGAGACCCCCCGTCGATCAGGTCCTCTCGGTCAAGAAGACACCTACATATTGATGAAGATTCAGCACCACACTCAACTGAAATAGGACTATCTTTTTGATCATTGCTGAATCTGAATTCAGGTGGAGCTCAGGTTGAGATAGTGCCAATCAATAAGGCGGTAAGGCCGACAAGCGGCAGGGCCCGGTCCCTTGTTTGGTAAGTATCAGTAGTTAGGACATTTATGTGATGAAAACATCAAGTCATTTCAGCTTACACAGAGTCATGTGACTAGAAGGCTGTGCTAGAGATGTCGAGAAACACATTTTTTGGCATCTCCAGCACAGCCACTCAATCTCATATCCACGCATCTTGCTCTCTCTTCTCTCCCTCCATCTAGATCACTCTGATCTCTTTCCAGACCACTTCTGCTTTTGCATTCCCTCCTCCTCCCATCTATGAATCAGTCATCTGCTGGTCTTGAGCAGCTCAGAGATCTCCATATTGTTGCAGATACAATTCAAACCCTCTTGACTCCAGTGTTTGCCAAAAGAGCTGAAGCCTATAGCTCATGTGGAAGGCTGTTATCTAATTGATTACTTCTGCAACCTAATTGAGATAATTGAAGTGAGATCCGATAATCAATTGTTGATCAGAATCAAGCACATTGGTAAGTATCACAGGTGCAAATGATTGATCCTTTCCTGCCTCCCCATCACCACTGATGCTGACCTTCTGGGATTTCTTTCTGAAGGGGAGTGAGAAGCAGAATCAGACCCAGTGGAAGACTCATTGCAAAGATTGTGTCATGTATCACCTTGGACATGCAGGGATTGCTGGGGAAGATATTGAGGCCGAGGTGGGGCTTAGATTCAAAAGTTTGCAGTTTACAGCCAGTGAGTCTCATCTAAGAACAGTTCTTTACTTATGGCTGAGCTGTTGAATCATTAGGGCAGTCAAAGTAGGTGATTCTCATGTGATTTGAATTTTGATTCAGGCTGCGATTCTGACATTGTCAGAAGCATAGGAGAATCAAGGAATCCTTGAATCAAGCTGAATTGGTGAAGCAGCTCTGGAGCTGCTTCACACAACAATTCTGCTTTGACTTCAAGTCCACTTCATTTTTGAAGTCTTGCACAAAGCTTACATGACATCACTTTAATTTGGTTCTTGTTTGTACTTTTTACACATAACCTCCAAGTCCCATGCCAAAGCCCCAAAAGATGGCAGCACTGCTGCCACCAAAGCTAGTACTGACAACCTGCCAGCTCCAAAAAAGAAAGGAAAGCTCAAGAAGGACAAGCCTGCCCTGCCACCTGCTGTACCAGACCCTCCCGAGCTCAGCCTTCTCAATGCGGCACTCAGCAGACCCTTTGAGACTTGAAATATGTCTCCAGAAGAGCTTTTTTGCATGTAGTACATTGGTTGGCTTGGTGCATAGTGGGTGAAAAAAAAGAAATGTGTATATAAGATCGTAAGTATGTACTAGTACATCTCGTAGTGTCAAATTGTTTGTGAATCAAGGATGTGAGATGGCGGTCAAAGTAAGATGTGATTTGACAGCAATTTGAGGGTGATTCTGGGTCCAAAATCTTTCTAAAATCACACCAGAATCACATGTGAATCAAGGTTCAAATCACACCAGAATTGCCTACTTTGACTGCCCCTATTGTCACTGACATCTTTGACAGCTCCATATGTGTCTGTGATGTTCTTGTTGTTGTTTTTCAATTTGTCAAGCTTTGGGGCTACCTTGTGACAATCAACCCAAAAACAAAGTCGAGAGGAAAAGTGAATTCGAAGACTGGAGAATACAACCAAGTAGCTACAGTATTTATACCCAAGTCCAGTCTGAGTCATATCTACAACTAATGAGTCATAAGGCTATGTACCGCATGGAGCACTGGTCATGGGTTGTAGTAGAACCTTCTGGAGCATGTGTCGCGCAGCCTTGAATCATGAAGATGATTCCCCAGACCCCCTAGCCCGGACCATCAGGTGCCGTGATCCGAGATAAGATAATCCGTGCCAAGATAAGATAAGATCGTTGCAGATAAGATGAAAAAGTGGTCGAACTATGACATACCTTGCTCATTGGTAGGTGTATCTTGATAGTCAGAAGCTCCCTTGCTTGCAACTTCAGAGCCTCTTCTACAGATCAGGGCACTGGAATATCAGGTACAAAGACCTGGTGGTCACATCAAAGTCCATCAATGACCATTAAATCAGCTTGGATGTGCTTGCATGCACCACCTCTCATTGGAAAGTCTGGGCAGTTGCAGGATACAATGCCATTGAACCTGCTCAAATGGTGTAGATGATTGGATTGTGGTCAATAGAGAGGGTGCACAATGAGTATGATTTCATGGTGAGCCCAACATTCTCTGGGAGAAGCTCTGGCACATTGAGCTGATTTGCATTCAAAATCTTCTGGGCTTTGGCATTGTACTCAGGTTGGGCACAAGAAAGGCTATGTGCGGTCAAACATGCTCATCCTGCATTTTCCTTTGTGTCATCCTGGTAGATGCATTGCTCCTCAAAGATTGACAGCAGTATTGACATGACCAGTGCTTTGAGGAGGACATCCATGCAAAGACAACGGCTGCCTTTCTGTCAGCGCTTGTGATGGCTCCCTTCAGAACACCATTGAAGGACTCCAGATGGTTTGCTGTCAGGATCACACCATCAATTGTGCATTTCAAGATATGTGCAATGTGTGTCCAACCATAATCTGACCAGCTCTTCCATAGGCTTTCAGTAAGCCAATAGTTGTTGAGAGAGTCAAGATGGGTGAGCATTTCTGGCACATTGTCTGGCTGTTCTGGCAGTAACACTGTGAGCGTCATTTGCTTGTTGCTAACCAACATCCAAGCAGCTTGAAACTCATGAGTCTGTGGAGGTGCTTGTTTCAATGCGACTATCTGCGCTCTCAAGTCATGGAGGACAATGGTATTCCCTTCAGGACTCTACATTGATGATTTCTCCAGGATTGACACAAATGAAACTGACAGATCAAGAGGATGATCTTGGGGAAAACTGATTCAAAGTCAACTGCCAGGTCTTGAGGAGTTTGGTAAGGATTTTGGAATTGTATCTGGCAGACGATTGCTGATTTCCTGGAAGATATACAGTATCAGCACAACAAAGAGCATATTTCAAGTCTACAGTCTTACCTGTAGGTGCCAAGAAGAACAAGAAAGCAACAGGTATCCCTTTCTTTCCTTTGTTGACAACCATCACAATAAAGACCAGCAGTTGTTGATTGCAAACACCAAAGGTGCCATCAAGAATGATCTGGTTCTTATGGCCGTATTTCCAGACTGCTTCCTTCATTTTGTCTGTGGCAACACAGGCTTCGAAACATTCTGACTTGGAAGCACGTGCTGAGTAATGGAAGACCGCACTGGAAAAGGCTGAATGGTATTCTTGGATTGTGAGTCCATCTATGCATCAATGTTAGCCTCTGATGCATCCTGAATAAGTATCCCTTTTGTCACATGAAATTTGCGATAAAGGGAGCGTGAATCTTTGGCTGTTAAGACTCACCAGAACAGTGATGCCTTCAATGCCTTATCTGTCTGGGGGAAGCTGTTGTATACCTTAGATGAGAACAGGGAGCAATTCTGGTTGCGAATATCATGATAAGTGCAAGTGCCTTGTTTCAAACGCTCCACAGCAACCTGGTATACAGATAGATGGACAGGAATGGCAGGCTGCTGGACAAAAGGTATGTTGGTGCATTTCTGGCAGTGTTTGAGATGTCCACAGATTTTCAGGATGTTTTCGCCTCACATGGTGAGGCCCACATGAGCCAAACATGCTGTGAACTCAGTCAGAACACATCACTGCACTTCAGCAGCAGGTTTTTTTGATGCACATTGTGATCGTAACCATAGGGGCATTGGTATAGAATGCAACCTGTTTTGGCAGTTGTAAGTAAGCTCCAAGCCTGTGCCCAGCAATT